GTGCAAAAAAGTTTTGTTGGTCAAACCTGCCAATCGCCTTTGCTCCCCAGTTGGGCAAGGAGTCTAAAATTTTTTGTTGGTCAAACTTGCCAACCCCCTTTAGCCTAGATCCTGATCTCGATTAAAGCGTGCAAAAAAGTTTTGTTGGTCAAACCTGCCAACTGCCTTTGCCTCCCAGTTGGGCAAGGAGTCTAAAATTTTTTTTTGAAAAGAATTGGTCAAACCTACCAACCCCCTTTACCCCCTGTTAGGCACAGATTTGTTAAAAAGAGTTGGTCAAACCTACCAACCCACTTTGCCCCTAGTTGGGCAAAGACTTTTAAACGGTCGGTCCTACTTGTTAACCGTGGTAACTCTCGCCAAAGGCTTTTGTCTAGCATCGCTATTGTGTCAGACTCTTCCTTGATGCGCGCCCCATCTTTCTCTACCTGGATGTGTTGGTACACTCTCTCCGTCAGGGTTTCCATAGTAAAAGGCGGCATCATTGTCATTGAATCTCTCAATTTATTGCCTACTGGCAAACCTCATTTGTACTGTGCGATAGCTAGGTTTATGGGGCAATCTCCAATCTGATTAAAAGTCTTCCAATACCGATTGTTATAAGATTTCAATGTTTCCTTCTCGCCCATATCTATGGAGAGTAGCTGGTTAATCCCCACCGATTTCTTGGTGTTTGTTCTAAATCTGGTTACAAATGCTTTTGCTAGTTGCACCCATGAAGCTATGCTACCTTCTAGCAACCTTTCAAACCATGTTAGACCCAGGTCACCAAGGCTGGAAAGAAATAGGATACACATTAGATCCTCGTTTCGCCGATACACTGCCATGATCTGGCGGAAGTGGCTCAAGTGCATGTAGGGGTCCGACTTACCCTCATAAGTTGTGAATTTAGGCTGATGGAAGCCTAAGGGTAATGGTGCGTTCTCAATTGTCGGAACGAACGGTGAGCTCTGCAACCTTGCTAACACTTTGTCCGCTGGTTCATAGGCAAGGCATGGCTCTAGCATTCCTACCTCAACACTCCCATGTGTTCTAGGAACCAAACGTTGTAGTGCGGAGACTCTACGGGGTTGCGAGCCTGAGTATCTTCTCTCATTCGAGCCCTTTCCTCAAGCACTGTCCGCAGGTCCGCCAAACTAGGCAACTCCGTGTACCTAGATGTCATTTAGTGCGAATGCGAGGGCCAATAACTACTTCCCTCCTTGTAAGACCTTTCAGTCCTCGTTCTCTTAGACCTGGAGTAGAGCGTCCTGGAAGTCCTTGATTGTTTATCGCCCGACCTAAGGCTTCTACTTTCAGCTTGTGATTGTGTGACTTGTCTGTCACGATCTTCTAAGTGGCAAGAGCGTGTGTTGCCTTTGCACCCCTCTTTTGTTGCCACCCATTTGCCTTTTATCTAGCGCTTCAGCGTCTCCATGTCTGCCGCCATCCTCCATATCAATTCGTCTTGCTCCCTTACCCGTTCTTCTAGAACCTGAGGATCCAACCTTCGCCTCTGCCTGTCAGGGCTTTGGAAGTGACGAGGACTGGAGCCCCGTATTTCACGGGTATCCCTCCGTAGGTTCCGTCACTGAGGATCTAACTCTGCCATGGGTGGGATAAAAGGTAAGCCTTCATGCCTTCTGCCCCCCTCCGAGGTTTGCCCATCAATGGCAGAGTGTGGTAAGTCTTCATTGTGCGCCATTGAAATCAGTTGAAAGAAACTTAATCAAGAGGCTCGTTCTTTGTGATTGCGTTTCCCATAGACGGTGCTAGGGATGTAAGAAAAATCGAAAAAATCGACCAAACCGATTGAACCGAACAAAACCAGCTATATTTGATCTGTTTTTTTAACAAGAATCAGTCTGTGCGGTTTTAAAATTTGAATTTTTTTGATTTTCGGTTCGGTATCGGTTTAAGCACCTTCTGCACCAATCTAAACTGAAACCGACCGCTTCAACACATATTGTATTTATAATATATATATATAATCTAATAATCTAATGATATTAATAAGTATAATAAATTATTAACCTTAATTAATTAACTTTATCATCTTTATAACTTAAGTTTGTAAACTATTATTATATATAATCTTAACTCTAAGTCATTATTCTTGAAACCTTAGTATTTTTAAACTTTTTTTTTGTTTTTATTTTTGCTAATTTAGGAATTAAAAAGTATGTATTAAATGGATGGATTGAATATGTTTGAAATGGTAGACAAATAACTAATTCAATATTTTTATATAGATTAATGATTACATTTAAAAGTGGCTCAAGTTTAAAAAATTCTAAACCGATTAAACCGCACAAAACCGAACCGTTTCAATTAATTCGGTTCGGTGCGGTTTGATGTGAGAAACGGTCTGTATCGGTGTTCAAAATAATATAACCGACATTATTGGTTTGGTGTAATTTTTTACCTAAATACCGACCGTACCGAACCCATTACATCCCTAATTTAAATAATTCATATTGTAAGAAATAATCTTCTCATATAATCCTGTTGATCAAGTTTGCACTCCTCTAAACATCATCGCTTTGCCACCTGAAAACACAAACGTGAGCTAACCGGCGGGTGTGTGCCGGAAACCCCTCCGATGCCTAAGTCAGCAACTAAACAATAGACAATAAGTTCTGTGTATTCTAAAGTAAGAATTGTGATACATGTACATAGGTCCTGCTATGAGCTTTTATAGATTCTATCTGGTACAATCCTAGTAGGATTCCAACTCTCCTTATAAGAGTCCTCCTAAGAATCACACTTCTAATAAAAAGTGTCTATCCTGATAACACTCTACTCACTACCAATCAAGTGAGATGGTTTGCATAATCTTAGTAGGACTCCACTCTACTCAACAGAGTCCTCCTAGAAGTCTCATATCCAAGGATAATGCTTATCCTTAAAACACCCTCATCACTGCAAGCTAAGTGAGATGGCCACACCCTCATGCTCAAATATACATTCCTGACCGAGCTGTTTTATCTCGGTCCCCTGCCGTTCGGGCCATGTGATCGGAAGCCGAGCCACCAAATGGCACCCTGCCGAGCTACACATAACTCGGCCCTCTCTATTGACAACATCCCGGGTCAATAAATGATTACATTCAGATAGCTAGGTCCAGACCCTGGCAACCCATCTCTACCGACCTAGTGTCTTCTTAGCCCAAGACCGAGCTACATCAGCTCTTATCTCGGCCCATTGCGTAGCCTAACTTCCAAAGAAGACTTTTTCTAGTTCGGCCCAATTTATTCACAAATTACCCTCTCATTGCCCATATAATTTGCATATTTTCTCTGGTGGGCTTTGGCCTCTTAGTTTCCTAGAAAGACTGTTTTTGGTACGTATGTAGAGTACACCACAATGTGTTTGATGTGGCCTAGGTTATTTATAAAAAAAAAATAATAATAGTAAATTTAATAACTGTAATCACAAAGTATATTCTCAAAATTATGCTACTTGTTCACATTTTATTTATTTATGATAAAATAGATGACTACAATCATGAAAGAAAGGTCTCCAATTCAATTTGTGTGGTTGTAGGCCATCTTGAATCTATCTTAATGATTCAAACCATTCAATTTATATAAAATATATATATATATATATATATTATTGATACAAAAATTTAATTTGATCAAATATCAACAATTACATAATGATATCAAGATTCTTTTTTAAAAAAATGAGCGGCATGTATAATTTTCTAGAATAAACCATCCTTTTTTTTACTCCATACAAATATATAATGACTATTTATATTGATTAATTTAATTTTTTATATAGATAATTTATTAAAAAAAAATCTTAAAAATTGAATCACAAAAATAAACTTTGGTGCGGCCATAGCAATCCAAACTGGACCTCCAATCCCTTCTCTCAAATAGAGAAATCTTTCTATTAACAGGATATGTTTACAGACAATGTCACTCATAATTCCACTAACTCAATTATATATACCCCACTCCTGTGATTTATTATTGATTAGAGACTGGCTTCCTCCAGTGATTTATTGCTTCCCTCCAGTCCCAGATTAAACTGGAAGATATTATTGGACCTATAACAGCTTATCACAAGTCTCATTTCAATAATTCAAATCGTTCAATATGTAAAACTCGTCAAGTACTATATGCCTGTAAAAAAATCACGTTAATTAGATATTGATAACTATTTCACCGGATCAAATTTATGTGAACCGTTTACTTTTTTACCATCTATTTTTTTTATACAAAACTAATTTAAACTATCAATATCCGATCAACATTATTTTTTATAAATATATAATACTCTACGAGTTCTACACATTAAACTGTTCAGATTATCAAAAAATGATTCATGGTGAACCCCCACGAGCCTAACAGTACCCTCCAGTCCGATCTGGGACTGAAGAGAAGCCAAACCCTATTAATTAATAAGATTAATTACATTTTTCACTTGTATAAATTGATCTAAATTTTACCTCTATTATTCTAATTTGAACAATTTGATCCCTACCCTTAAATCTAATTTTAATTTGATCATGTTCACTAGAGAAATCTTTCTATTACCAAGATATGTTTACTTAAAACAATAAGCTGAATTGGGTTTGTCACAACACTCATAATTCCACTAACTCAATTATATGAGTAAAATGTTAAAAATCTCAACTATTCTATCAAAAATTTTATAAAATATCTCACGTAAGTGTGAAATCCACACAATGTAAATCTCACCCTCGTATAAAACATTTAGTAAAACTTTTGATAAAATTTTTAGAACCTTTAACATTTTTGATTATATATAGTCTCCCACTCCTGCAATATGTGATTTATTATTAATTAATAACATTAATTATACTTTTTAGTTACATAATTTGATCTAAATTTCATAGCCCTATTATTTCAATTTGAACAATTCGAACCTTACATTTTAAGTCTAATTTTAATTTGATCGTTCCGCCTAAATTTTTATTAACTTTTTCTACGAGTACCCTTAAAGGATTGACAAGTATCCCAAAATCATTAATTTTAATCAGTACATTGACAAAACTATTCTCCTTTAATGAATAACGCCAACTTTTTCATTTAAAATCCATAAAATTCAAACACAAACTCCACAATTGATGAAGAGTAAAATATAGTTCTAATGAAATATTTTGACCCTGCAGTCCCAAGGGTTCGAGTATTGCTTGCGCCAACTACTCATAAACATGTCCATTCAAGCCCGGGATTGGTACCCCATCGGATTCTGGCTCGCCCAATTCCATTGGTCCCTGCACATTTCTTCAATACCATATTTTGTCCTAAAAAATTAAAAAAAAAAAATGAAGCTAGCTGATCAAATTAGCGTGCTAAATGATTTCAATGAATAATTTACAGAATTTTATCCATGAGGTGTAAAAATATATAGTTGAGAGATGACCCATTAAGAGCCATTTTCTAAGCTAGCAGACCATTCATCTCACAATCAATTGAAGAAATATGGACGATTAAGAACTTACTTCCAACCAAGTTCTTTCTCAGCTTTCTCTGTAGAAGCATAAACTGCAGTGGCATCACCTGCTCTTCTTGGACACAGTTTGATGGGGATTTTCTACAAGATACAATTAATTTTAGTATTATATATCCCGAACTTGGTTCTATGTATGCGTGAGAGAAAAAGAGAGGGAGGTAAGACCAACAACACTCACCTTGCCAGAGGCCTTCTCAAACGCAGCAACCATTTCAAGTACCGATGTACCACGACCAGTTGCCAAGTTGTAGGCAGAGCAACCTAATACAGGACATGTTGAGACATCAAACGGTACATATATCTGAAAGACCATATAATTATTATTAAGGAATAGGTGACTAGACGTGCATTACATGTAAATTTATGCACAAAATGTAGGTGATTACCTATATTCTTTGTTGTGAAAAGCTTGCGAAGTGCAGCAATGTGACCATCTGCCAAATCCATCACATGGATATAGTCTCGGATCTGCTAACAAGAAAAGAAAATATTGCATGCTTTTAAGTGAAGAACAAGTTATTTGGTCCACATAGTCTTCACAAGACAATCCAGAAAGCTATTTAGCGTAAGTGGAACATATGAAACTACTAGAAAGGATCTGATACACAACTAGTAGAATATCCCACCCTAACTTCTCTTTTCTTTGCAAATTTATTTATTTATTTTAAATTTAAAAAAGAGTAACATTAATGGAATCTGCATACCGCAGTACCATCAGGTGTGGGATAATCATGGCCATAAACATTTAGTTCAGGCAATCTTCCAACAGCTACTTGTTGTATGTAAGGCATAAGATTGTTTGGGATGCCCTTTGGATCTTCACCAATTTTGCCACTCTCATGAGCCCCAACAGGGTTAAAGTACCTCAGAAAAATCATTCTCCATCCAGGATCTGAACTCTGGATATCTCGAGCAATTTCTTCGAGGAAAAGCTAATTCAACGGAACAAAACATAGGTTAGAGGGGAAAAATTAAGAAATTGCACCTTTCTAAACTAAGTACACCATTTCTTCTCTAATGGTCCAATAGACTTGGAGCATAAAACATAGAATGTGAGTAGAAAAGGGACATATTTTAGGATATTGTAGCATATACCTTGGTCCGCCCATAAGGGTTCATAGGTATTAACTCAAAATCCTCAACACATGGAATTTTTTCAGGTTGGCCATAAACTGTCGAGGACGAAGAGAAAACCAACTACAAGCCCACACAAAACTTTTGTCAGTAGTGGAGTAAGTGTGAAGATATCTAATGCCATGAATCAATGCTTGCATTGAAAGGTACAGACACTTGGTAACTTCATTGTTAAGCATTCAAATATGATTCCCACAACACATTCTTTTCCTTCTTTTGAAAGGTAAATGATTGCAAGGGAAACTTCTCTGTTAAGATTCCCACGGTACAAACACTGCTAGTAATGTAAAAGGCATCTTTTGATTTCTAATCAGCTGAATTGCAAGAACAAAAACTAAAAAGAAATCAAATGGACAAAGACACACACCTTCTTACAGTTATATTTTGCCATGGTCTGGTATAAATTGATTGAGCCGATCAAATTGTTATCAAAATAGCGCAAAGGGTAAATCACACTCTCACCAACAGCTTTAAGCCCCGCAAAATGGATCACACCATCAAACCTGTTTCATTGTTATTATCATAAAATAAAAATGGAGCTACTTGCCCCAAAAGAATTATAAAAAAGGAACTATTACAACACTTCCAAAAGTTTTTTAAAAAAAAGGGTAATTACGTTAATGGTCCTCAAAATATAAGTTCAGTTGAACTTTAGTCCTCAATCTTTTAATTGTTCCATTTTGGTTCCCAAAGTATGCAATTTGTTACACTATAATCACAACGTCAGAATTTTACAAGAAGTCCCAACAAAATCAAAATGGCCAAATCACACATAGTCTAAAAATATACATTTTGTAGTATTTTATTTTAATTATTAAAATATGCGTTTTGTTTTGTTTCATTTTAATCCAAAATATAAGCTTTCTTTCATTTTTCATCCCTAATCTTTTATTTTTGTTGCAATTTTTTGTGTAAAATTATGAAAATTCCCCCCTCCCGTTTGGGGACCAAAGTGGAACAATTAAAAGACTGGGACCAAAGTGTAACATAACACAAAGTATAAATATTTGTGTAATTAACCCTAAAAAATCAAAATACATAACACAAATTGTGACAATCTTAAACTCGAAAATCACTATTCTACGTATCACAATCACAGTGTTAATTTAGATAAATTGCGGACCACACCGTGTATCAAATTCACATACTTCGTCTGAGAAAATAACTTCTCCAAATCCTCCTTATTCCTGAGATCACCCTGCACCCAAAAACAAAAAGGCACCATATTAAACCCTAAAATAAAATAAAATAAAGGTAGGAGTTACTTTAATGTTTTCCCGCATTTTCCCGGCGAACAAACAACGAAGAGAAAGTAATGGTACCAGATGGAAGTCGAGATTGTTGGAGAGTTGAGGTCCGACCAAGTCTCGAACTCGGTCGACGGCTTCCACGACGGAATTGTCGAGGTTGTCGATGATGGCAACCTTGAATCCTTGTTTGAGAAGCTGAAGAACGGTGTGTGTGCCAATGAATCCAGCACCTCCGGTGACCAGAATCGTTTGATTTGACGCCGCCATTGCCGAGCTAGAGAGAGAAAGTGCCGAGTAAGAGAAAGAAAGCGAAACTTCGACAAACGATAAAATATATATCTAGAGAGAGAGAGAGAGAGAGAGAGTTTTGAGCAAATCAAGCAGACGGTTCGAACTTGGATAAGCACGCTCTAAGCGTAGAGAGAGAGAGAATTTCAATTTCTTTTGTTTTGTTAGGTTTTCATTACCGTATTGGCGCGCTCTATATATATATATATACTAATATATGTTCGTACTTGAACGCTCGAGATAAATAATGTTCGAATTCGAATATAATTATAATTTTAATACTATTTAATAAAATTGTAATTCCAATCTTTCTGTATTAAAAGCAGGCCTATAAATGTAAATAATATTAAAGTCACGTTCATCGCGGATAATAACATTAATATTTCTTTTTTGAAGAAATTAAATCTATATACAAAAACTTTATATACAAAAATAAGAAGAAAATTAAATATGATAAGTTTAAAATAAATAAATAAATAAGTCTTACATTATAAGAGATGTACTTAAATTTATATGGAGGGAACAAAAAAAAAATTTGACTGAAAATAGTGATATTGTCCATAACTGTTGTACTTCAACTGGAAAATGATTGGTTATATAATTTTAAACCCATCAATGATATATTTTAATAATCACATTAAAATGATAAAATTAAAATCAGCCCTAAAAACATGAAGATTATTAAAATTGGAGCACAACAATTGTCTAAATTTTAACTCTTCTCTTTCCCAACTCACTTCAATTTTATAAAGATTAAATTAAAATCAAAATCAAAATCAAAATCCGTTATAATCATAAGTATTTTGAAGATCACCATTTATCATTTAGAAAGTCCAAACATGAATTTATGCCACCAAAAAAAAAAACCAAAACAAAACTAAACTAAACTATTTCATTGGCAATTTATACTAACTATCAAGTAAATCAACAACTAACATGAGCAACAACCAACAAAACCAATTTTAATCTTCAGTAGCTTTCCCTGAACTACCCATTTCAATTTTCAATAACAAATTTTAATTGGTCTCTAAGTGAGTTATTCAAAGCTTTCCTTGGTTTTTAAGTTTACAATCTCCTTTTCTAATGGATTTTTACCACCATACATGCACCAGAAATACTATAATTTACATCTGTGTAGCACAACAAATCCCATATTTCTCATATTCAAATGCGGACCTGCTGTAGATTTCCCGACTGTCAATTGAACATCTTCATTTGCTCTATGGCCAAGTTTGCGTGTCAAGTTTATGTTTCAAAGATCACTATTTAGTCTTCAATCATTAATTCAAAAAAAATAAATAAATGAAGATAGAGCACATTGATACATTTCTAGTATAGCCATCAAAGTATCCAATTCAAATTAAAACCAAAATCAAAATCCATCATAATCATAAGTATTTTGAAGCTTACCATTTATCATTTATGAAGTCCAAACATAAATTTATGGTGCAAAAAACAAAAACAAAAACTGTTTCATTAGCAATTTATACTAACTATCAAGTAAATCAACAACCAACAAAACCAACTTTAATCTTCAGTAGCTTTACTGAACTACCTGTTTCAATTTTCAATAACAAATTTTAATTGGTCTCTAAGTGAGTTACTCGAAGCTTTCCCTGATCTCTAAGTTTACAATCTCCTTTTCCAATGGATTTTCACCACCATACATGCACCAGAAATACTATAATTTACATCTATGTAACACAACAAATCCCATATTTCTCATATTCAAATGCGGACATGCTGTAGATTTCCTCATTGTCAAGAGAACATCTTCATTTGCTCTATGGCCAGGTTTGCGTGTTAAGTATATGTTTAAAAGATGACTATTCAGTCTTCAATCATTAATTCAGAAAAATAAATAAATGAAGGTAGAGTACATTGATACATTTATAGTATAGCCATCAAAGTATCCAATTCAAATTAAAACCAAAATCAAAATTCGTCATAATCATAAGTATTTTGAAGTTCACCATTTGTCATTTAAAAGTTCAAACATAATTTTATGCCACACAAAAAAAAAACAAAAACAAAAACAAAAACAAAACAAAACGAAACAAATTTATACTAACTATCAAGTAAATCAACAACCAACATAAACAACAACCAACATAATCAACTTTAATCTTCAATAACTTTCCCTGAACTATATGTTAAAATTTTCAATAACATATTTTAATTGATATCTAAGTGAGTTACTCGAAGCTTTCCCTGGTCTTTAAGTTTACAATCTCATTTTCCAATGGATTTTCACCACCATACATGCACCACAAATACTATAATTTACCTCTAGTGTAGCATAACAAATCCCATATTTCTCATATTGAAATGCGGACCTGCTGTAGATTTCCTCACTTTCAAGTGAACATCTTCATTTGCAGTATGGCCAGGTCTGCATGTCAAGTTTATGTTTCAAAGATCACTATTCAATCTTCAATCATTAATTCAGAAAAATAAATAAATGAAAATAGAACACATTGATACATTTCTAGTATAGCTATTAAAGTATCCAATTCAAATTAAAACCAAAATCAAAATTCATCATAATTATAAGTATTTTAAAGTTCACCATTTATCATTTAGAAAGTCAAAACATAAATTTATGCCACAAAAAAAAAACAAAAAAACAAAACAAAACAAAACAAAATTATACTAACTATCAAGTAAATCAACAACCAACAAAACCAACTTTAATCTTCAGTAGCTTTCCTGGAACTATATGTTAAAATTTTCAATAACAAATTTTATGATCTCTAAGTGAGTTACTCGAAGCTTTCCCTGGCCTCTAAGTTTTCAATCTCCTTTTCCAATGGATTCTCACCACTATGCATGCACCATAAATACTATAATTTACATCTGGTGTAGCATAACAAATCCCATATTTCTCATATTCAAATGCGAATCCGCTGTAGATTTCCTCACTATCAAGTGAACATCTTCATTTGCATTATGGCCAAGTCTGCGTGTCAAGTTTATGTTTCAAAGATCACTATTCAGTCTTCAATCATTAATTCAGAAAAATAAATAAATGAAGATAGAGCACATTGATACATTTCTAGTATAGCCATGAAAATATCCAATTCAAAAAATTAATCTTTTCAAGGTTGAAGAATATATGCCACAGCTCAGCTGTGGTCTATTTCAAAGTATTGAAGAATTTTACTTGAAGCTTTCCTTGAACACATTCTATTTGAGCATGAAGTGGGTTTTGCACCAACAACGGCGGTGGGAGGACGAGCAGCGGCGGTGGTGTTGCAACCATATAAACAAACCAGACATAGCCATAAACTGATCTACTGCAATCCAATAAATTGATCTAGGAAATTAGAAATCAAGAAATTTGTTGAAATTAATTAAATGAAGTAATAAAATGATCTACGAAAGGAAAGCGAAGACTCATTGTCATTAGGGTAAAAATCAAATCCACCAAGAGAGAAGGGGAATTGCAACAAGGGAAACACAAAAACAGACACAGCCACAAAAACAAAAACAAAGAGAGAAGGGGAGAGGCAGAAATCGAACCTTGCGAGTGCGAGTTCAAAGGGAGGGTGGTTGTCGATGCTGAAATTTTTATTCATACCAAACCGATTGATTGGAACAAAACCTAACTTGGATCATCATCCGTATATCATCACCAACCTGAAAAAGTGAAGCAAAGAGAAAAAAAGATTCATCAAATACCAGTTTTAGATACATAAAACTAAAAAGTAAAAAATAAAAAGGTGTTATTTTTTAATGGATAAAGGGAAAGGAGATGTAATGAATCTTTCAACCCAATTTCCCATCTCTCTAAACATTCACTCTCACACCTTGAGAAAAACCACCATTCCCCAATTTCTCGGTTGTCAAACAAAACCCATTTCCAAATCCTTTGTTTTTTTCCCATCAATCTGATGTGGCAGCGCCGACGCCAGCAAGGCAAGAAATACTGAGCCATGGGCTACGTGATCGGAACGTTGCTCGCCGGTGATCGACGGTCCTCCAGAGATTCTCCACCCTGTAACTCTCTCTCTCTCTTCGCCATTTTCGAGTCATTGAACGGAGAGTTTCAGTGGTGTCAAGTATGTTTACCACCACCCATCATCATCGCAAACCTAGATCTAGGCAACTCATCGGCGTCTCGACCTCCTTTCGAATCTCTACAAGATCGATCAGATCAAGGTTGACACAAAGAACGGCGCCTTGAAGATCATTGTTAGCAATGCAATCTAATCTCAGATCGTCTGTGAAGCATAGTAGAGAGAGAAAGAGAGTGAACTCAATTTGGTCTCTTTTATGAGAATGTGGGAGAGAACGTATAGAGAGGAAGTTGAGGATAACGTGTTTGGGCAGAGGCAGACGTGTTTGGCAGGCGTGGGAGAGAGAGAGAGAGAGCAGAGCAGAGAGTGTTTCGGCGGGAAAAAAATTACTCTCAACCGTTAGATATTGATTACGATCGATCTAAACCATTCAAATGAAATATATCTCTGATACATTTTACATATTTTCAAAATCCATTCTGTTTTATTATATATATATATATTTTTTTTTTCTTTTCTTGTCAGTATATGAGGCCACGTGTATATGCTTATATGCGTACGTCTATATTCATCAAATTTTTTATTAAATTTGCCGAAAAATTAATCTGATATAATGTATTTTAACAATTTTCATTAATTCTATCGGTTATTTTGCAAAGAGTAAATTTTCATCAAATTCATCTCACAATCTGATTGTCCTACAGTTTGTTTATCCGGTTGTCCACCAACGTTACCTGTAAAATTTGATGAAATGTTAAATGCTCCACTAATTTGATGAAAAATATACCGTTTTCTTCATTTGATATCAGTCCAATGAAACGGTTGGAGCACCATTTTTAATCAATTTTTCATCAAATTATCTTATGCAACGTTGGATATAGCTTAAGTGATTTAATTTTAGGCAAATTACAAATACACTCTTGAAATTTACTTAAAATAAAGATTGTGTTATATTTTTTAAAAAATTATAAATATCTCATTGCTAGGATTTTTTATTTAAAAAAATTAATTAGAAAATAAAATTTGTAACTACTCTCATATATAATAATAAAATTATTTGAATTATTAATTAAAATAAAATTTTGATATCATTAAAAATACTAATTGATTTGATAATTCATTAATAAAATGAATTATTTGTTATGAAATTTA